TATTTTGCCACGCAGTATGCGTTGGTTAATTTACGGTCTTGCCCTTTCATCGGGAGAAGGTTTCGTGCGCTCAAGATCTCGAGCTCGAGAAGCCCGATGCTCGCTAAATCAAGCACTCAAATGAACCATATATATGAACATTGAAACTCTACTGAAATTACTCGATAAAGCAGTGCGCTTACTGCTTACACAACTGAACCTTATTCCAAGTCAACCCTTCTTACATCCTTTGACCACACAAACAACTACTTATACCTCATCTCATCAAATCAAACAACCATCCAACTAAACAAAAAGAGATTAATATTAGAATATGATGATCATGGGACTCCAAGATTTGCAGTACCAAATCCATCCCATAATGTTTTTTCTAACAACTCTTCTCACACTAATCACCTCAACAACAAAAACGGCATCGTTTCCAATCGCGAAGCCCGACTGTCCGAGCCGATGTGGCGATGTATCGATCCCATACCCTTTCAGGACGACACCCGATTGCTACCGAGCCGAAAACTTCGCAATCACCTGCAACACCACGATGGTGCTCGAGAACTCGAACCCCCAGAGACCCTTCCTCCGCAACACGACGATGGAAATTACGAAAATATCCCTCGACGGCCAGCTCACCCCCCTGCAGCCCATCGTGCACGCCTGCTACAACGCCAGCCGAAACCAATCGGTTCACGACCCGTGGATCGTGCTGCCCGAGCAGTTGACCGTCAACACGTCTGTCAACCGGTTTTCCCTCGTCGGCTGCTATATGTTAGGCTACATCGCTAGCTTCGGGCTCAACCAGGGACGGTTGACGGGGTGCGTGACCAACTGTACCGCCGCCCGCAACGCGTCTGATCCCGGCCCCACCGGATTCTGCCAGGTGTCGGTCTCGGATTCGGTGATGGCTGGGCGAGTCGATTTGCTTTTCGGGAACTTCGCGTACCTCACTGCCTGGAGCCGAAGGGGGTTTTAGAATTACAATTGTTAAGAGCATGATTGGATACAAAAATTTCTCCAAAAAATCCAAACATTTTTAACTCAACCACTTTTTTAATTCAACTTTAACTCAACCCACTATCATCAATATTATCAATATAATTAAATAATATCAATCAATCATTCTTACACACAACATCAACCTTAATTCACTATTCATCTACTCACATAAATTTAACTAACTATCACATCACATTTTCTCTCTCTTACTTTTACATCAATTTAATTTTAATTATTTTATTTTAAATATTATTTTATTATATCTACTAACAACTAACCATACCTACTTTTTCAAATTTAACCAACCCAAATCAAAACAAAAACAAATTTATATCCAAGCTGTTAAGTTGGGTACACTCACAACACGTGGATACTAACGTAATTACTTTATTATATTAACAAAGTAATTACACGAACACAATACAGACCAAGATAAATATTTTATTTATTATGACCAAAACACACAAAATATTTATCTAGTAACTACACATACACAACACTCTAACTATTTTATATTAATTAGACACTAACACTCTCACTCTTCTTAACAATACTCACGCACTTACACTCACATTCACTTATTGGACAGTGGACACACACCACTAATCATTGATGTCTATTTATACTACAACAATGTCGGTGGACTAAACCGACATTAGAGTTCTCCACAATTCTAGACTAATACTCTTCTAGTGTTATTTAATTAATTTAATATGTGAGCTCCCAAAATATCTATGCAACTCCCATTTCTTGATCCACCTAGAACCTTCCTTGTAAGGAGGTGTTGAATTCAACACTCCCCCTCAACACCGACTTGTGCTAATTCGCTGTTCTCGGCCACCTTACATCAAGAAACGGATCTTCACATAAGTTAGAGCCTGTAAATATTTTTCTCGTGTGTTTTAGGCTTGGTACTCGTACTTTCGCTGATCTATGGGCTTGTGAGTTCTTGACACTTGTCTGATCTTCTACTCCTATCCAATGCTTGTTGACTTGCCCGTGACTTATTGTTAGCTCGTCTTCAAGTCTATCTTTCTTAACAGATTCTTTCTCACCCGTGTCAAAGATTGACAGCATCAAGTTGTCCATTGTCACCATACGATCTTCACTATACTCAGTTGAATTTGGTAACTCCTTCATGTCTTCTGCTTCGTCACTTGAACTTCCAGAGATACCTATCCACTCATCATCTGAGTCGACAAGCTCAGCAACCGTTGCCGTTAAAGCCACCTCGACGTCTTCACCAACTTCTTCTTCTTCTTCAATTACGGCCGACAGTGCTTCAAAATCCCATTCATCTTCACTTTTGTGTGCCTCATCCGACGTGACTGCATTTCCTTCCGCTGGCTTCTTTTTCGACCAACAATTCCTCGCTATATGGCCTTTCTTTCCACAATTATAACATTTCCCTTCAAATCTTCTACTTTCTTGAGGCTGACCGCTCAAATTCTCTTTCCTTTGTGCTCCCCCTAAATGAGCACTTCTCTCGTCTTCATCTTTGTCGACGTCGTTTCTTTTCTTCCAATAGAAATTTTTATTGTGTCGACCTCTGATATTTTTTACGAAAAGTAATTCTTCATCATTCTTGGATGAGGCTTGAAACATTTGCTTAGCTAACGCTTCTTGGTCAGCTAGCAAATTCTCCAACTCTACGAGAGAAGGTTGGGTCGGCCAACCTTGTACAGCAGCAATAAAACTTCTATATTCTTGCCTCAATCCATGAATAATTATTCTCCTTATCCGAGAATCTGACATACCAGCAGAAGAATCTAAATTAGAGATTTCACGACAAAGAGACTTTACCTTAGCAAAATACTGGTTTATCGTCATGTCTCGTTGCGTGATGGATAGAAGCTCGTTCTCCAGAAGTTGCAACCTCGCGTCGTTCCTCTTCGAGAACAACCCCGCGAACGTGTCCCATGCGTCCTTTGGTGTCCTCGCATCTCTAATGTGCTCCAACATCTCTTCCTCGATCGTGGTCTTGATAGCGAACATGGCCTTGCCAGCTTTAACCTTCCATTTCTTCAAAGCTGCAGAATCCTCCGGTGGTGTAGCCTCACTACCACTCACAATCTCCCACAAATATTGGCCTTGCAAATACGACTCCATGTACGTCGACCACGTGTTGTAATTCTGACTATTAAGCTTCTTGATACCTCCGACCACTTGAAGGTCTGCCATCGTGGCTACACTCGATCAACTCGCCACACACTTTGCAGTACTAAACTGCACACGAACTTTGCAGTACAAAACTGCAAAACTACGACCAAGAAGCTCAGCAAAACAATTCGTACCTCAACCAACACCAGGCCTAACTCACCTGGCTCTGATACCACTTGTTAAGTTGGGTACACTCACAACACGTGGATACTAACGTAATTACTTTATTATATTAACAAAGTAATTACACGAACACAATACAGACCAAGATAAATATTTTATTTATTATGACCAAAACACACAAAATATTTATCTAGTAACTACACATACACAACACTCTAAATATTTTATATTAATTAGACACTAACACTCTCACTCTTCTAAATAATACTCACGCACTTACACTCACATTCACTTATTGGACAGTGGACACACACCACTAATCATTGATGTCTATTTATACTACAACAATGTCGGTGGACTAAACCGACATTAGAATTCTCCACAATTCTAGACTAATACTCTTCTAATGTTATTTAATTAATTTAAAATGTGAGCTCCCAAAATATCTATGCAACTCCCATTTCTTGATCCACCTAGAACCTTCCTTGTAAGGAGGTGTTGAATTCAACACAAGCATGCTCTAATAGTATTAACATGTTGATTATTGTTCTTTTATGTACCTTGACAAAATTATTTATAAATAAATATATATATTTTTTTTTTTATTATTCATCATAGCAAAACTATCTACATTTTTGTAGATAATTTTTTTTTTTTTCGGTACAAAGATAAATTACTTTTAGTAGAACTAATAAAA